CCTAGGAGTTGAACCCATGGCATTTTCCTCCAGAGCCAGCGCTCCTAACCATGAAGCCAACCACCTCCCAGTGCCCTACCAGACGCCTGCCCCTATTGGCATGGCCATCCGTCCTCCATACTCACCCCACACACCCACACCTCCTCAGGGCCCTCTCTAGTCACCATCACCCTGACTTCCACCACCCTGCTTCAGCCAGGATGAGGAAACTCAGTCAAGGGTGCTGGGAGGACAGAGACGCTTGGTCGGGCTGGGGGAAGAGCAAACAGATGAGGCGCCTGTCTGCAGGAAGCCCCTGGAGGTAGAGACAGAATTTGAACCCACATCCACCAGATTCACAAGCAGACCTGGAGAGACCCATTGTGAGGTGGTGGCCCCCTGTGGGACCCACCTTGCGGGACCTCCAAACACTCTGTTGGAAGCAGCTGTGGCAGAGCAAGGTTTTCTGCAGCCAGGGAACAGGACGGGGCAGGGGCCTCAAGCCTCAGTTCGCTCTCTAAGGAAGAAACCCGCACCCCACACAACATCTCTCTCCTCCAGCTTCCATCTCCCGCACTTAGTGGCCCACGGGTCCTCCCTCTCCACAGAGCAGCCCTGGCCACCCATCCCCTGTGCTGTCCTCCCCTGCCTTCCACTGTCAGGCAATGAACAGTGACTGTGCGCCTGCTCGGTGCCCATCCCTGTGAACCAGGCCGCTGCCGGGAGGTGGTGGATATACGGGCCAGCAGGGAGCAGAGAGCCGGGAAGGCTTCCGGGAGGAAGCGCCATTGAAGCTGAGAACTGAATAGCTGACCAAATCAAGTACCGCTCATGGTCAAGCAGAGGGCCAAGGTGGACGCAGGGAGTGAAGGAAGGCATTGCAGAGGACGGCCAGTGGGAAGAGTGGAAGGACAAAGTCGGGAAGACCACAGACCCCGCACTTGAGAATCACGACGGAGTCACGAGCACTAGCGCCGTAATGCTGCATTCCTTGGCGGTCGGACCTCCGTCCCATGCGCACCGCGGGGCCACCTCAGGGTGGCTCCTTTGCATTCACCTTTTCATCACCACCCTCGGGGCAGGTCGGCGGTCCCCATTCCACGAAAGCAAAAGCTGTGATCCAGAGAGGTTGAGTGCGGCCCCAAATCACAGAGCTTGGTCAGTGGCAGCGTCGGGATTTGAACCCGGGCGGTTCCCCAGATTGGTAACTCCCTCTCCGGGGTCTTTGCCCCCGCCCCACAGCTAGGGAGAACTCGGAGGGTGTCCAGCCCCTGCTTACTCGAATAATAGTACCCCGAGGAGACTCGCAGCACGCGCGGGAGGGAGGCGAGGTCTAGGGTGCGTATGAAGTCCTGCAGCGGCATGGGTTCCATGGTGCCCGTGTCTCTCTGGGCACACACTGACGGGCTGGCAGGTGCGGCCTCAAAGAGCCCTGAAGCCCCGCCTCGCCTTCACCCCGCCCCTCATGCCGAAGCCCCGCCCCGCCAGCCCGCGAGAGCCCTGCAGCCCCGCAGCCCCGCCCCACCGATGCCCCGCCCCACTGACTCCCGTGATGCCCTATGGGGGAGGGGCGATGATGGAGATGCAGAGGTCCCAGAGGCCCCTTCAGCAGTGCTCCCAGTTAGAACAAAGCCCATCTTGTTCTGCGGCTCATAGAAGGGACATAGCCCTGCTCTTTGAGGAGGAAGAGGGATTGTCAGCGTTCCTGAATGTCCCTCCAGGACCCTCTATGGTCCTCTATCAGACACCTCCTGGTAAAGGGGAACTCATTATCTCTCCAGGACTCTAATATGCTTTCGACAATTATTGCCCACGTTGGCCTCGAACTCCTGCACTCAGGTGATCCTCCCACCTCGGCCTCCCAAAGTGTTGGGATCACAGGCTTAAGCCACCACGCGTCTCGCCAATTCTAGGTAAAAAATCTTCTTAAGGCTAAAGAAAAATCTGATTAAGAAGCAGACCAACCACTTATCCTGACCTCGCAGGCACAAGACAAGTCTTTTCGATTTTCCTGTCCCTCAGGAGTCAGACCAACATAGGTTCAAATCACAGCTCCCCTCTTGTTGCTTATGTGACGTTAGGCAAATCACTTTGCTGGAGCCTCAGTTTCCTACGCTCTAAAACAGAGAGAAGGCCGGGCACGGTGGCTCAGGCTTATGATCCCAGCACTTGGGGAGGCTGAGGCGGGCGGATTGCCTGAGCTCAGGAGTTCTTGACCAGCCTGGGCAAAACGGTGAAACCACAAATCTACTAAAATAATACAAAAAATTATCAGGGCGTGGTGGTGTGTGTCTATAGTCCCAGTTACCTGGGAGGCCGAGGCAAGAGAATTGCTTGGACCCAGGAGGCAGAGGTTGCAGTGAGCCGAGATCATGCCACTGCATTCCAGCCTGGGAGACAGTGGGAGATTCCATCTCAACAAAACAAAACAAAACAAAAACAACAGAAGAGGCTGGGTGCAGTGGTTAACGCCTATAATTCCAGCACTTTGAGAGACCAAGGCAGGAGGATCACTGCCTGTTATAAAATAAAATAAAATAAAATAAGGCTGGGTGCGGTGGCTCATGCATGTAATCCCAGCACTTTGGGAGGCTGAAGCAGGTGGATCGCCTAAGGTTAGGGGTTCAAGACCAGCCTGGCCAACATGATAAAACCTTGTCTCGGCCGGGCGCGGTGGCTCACGCCTGTAATCCCAGCACTTTGGGAGGCCGAGGCGGGTGGATCTCGAGGTCAAGAGATCGAGACCATCCTGGTCAACATGGTGAAACCCCGTCTCTACTAAAAATACAAAAAAACTACAAAAAATTAGCTGGGCATGGTGGCGCGTGCCTGTAATCCCAGCTACTCAGGAGGCTGAGGCAGGAGAATTGCCTGAACCCAGGAGGCGGAGGTTGCGGTGAGCCGAGATCACGCCATTGCACTCCAGCCTGGGTAACAAGAGTGAAACTCTGTCTCAAAAAAAAAAAAACAACCTTGTCTCTACTAAAAATACAAAAAATTAGCCGGGCATGGTGGCCTGCACCTGTAATTCCAGTTACACAGGAGGCTGAGGCAAGAGAATTGCTTGAACCTGGCGGGGGGCGGAGGTTGCAGTGAGCCAAGATGGAGCCACTTCACTCCAGCCTGGGTGACAGACTGAGACTCCATCTCAAATAAATAAATGAAAGTAAAAATAAAGACCATCACGATAACTCACACCTGTAATCCCAACACTTTGGGAGGCTAAAGTGGGTGGATCACAAGGTCAGGAGTTCGAGACCAGCCTGGCCAACATGGTGAAACGAATCTCTACTAAAAATACAAAAATTAGCCAGGCATGGTGGCAGGCTCCTGTAGTCCAAGCTACTCAGAAGGCTGAGGCAGGAGAATAGCTTGAACCCGGGAGGCGGAGGTTGCAGTGGACCGAGATAGTGCCACTGCACTTCCAGTCTAGGTGACAGAGCCAGACTCCATCTCAAAACATAAAGAAATGGATAAAATAAAATAAAATAGCCAGACATGGTAGCATGCATCTGTCGTCCCAGGTACTCAGAGGCTGAGGCAGGAGGGTGGCTTCAGCCCGGGAGGTGGACGCTGCAGTGACAATGATCATGCCACTGCACTCCAGCCCCGCCTGGGCAACAGAGTAAGACGCCGTCTCTAAAAAACTTTTTCATATAGGATAGGAGAAAGAATTCTTTCTCAGCAGATTCTGAGGATTGAATAAGATGATACAGGCATCGAGCAAAATGTTATTCGCATCCAATAGTACCGAATAGTAAACATATTTATTAAAGAGATTTTCCGAACCGGCTTTGTGTGGGTGACAAGGCCATTTTATTTCTCTCTTGGGGGCAAGCGGGATAAATGAGAGAAAGGACAGGTGAAGGGGGTAAGGGTGGGAACTGGTTTCATAGGTTGGGGTAATTTTGGGGGGAGTGGGGGTGTGGCAGAGTAAGAGCAGTTACAGTGGTGGAGGGCAGGGGCAAGGAGTATACAGGTCCACAAGTTCAGTTACAGTGGCGGGTGGGTATGAAGGCTGAAGAGAAGATGGCAGGATGAGGCAAGGAGCATTCACATTATCAGAAGCATAAGAACAGTTCAGATGGCAGGGTGGGGTAAGGGCTTGTCCTGGGAAGCTCTGCTGGGCGATTAGGGACAATGGCAAATGCAGGTGGGGTGTGGGGGACGATTAGCCCAGGCAGGCAGGCTTCAGACTTTCCGGGTCCAGGCTTGCACATGGAGACCTGACACAAAAGGCTTTATTTAGTTTTATTGTCACTATAAAAGTAACAGAAGACTTTTAATCAGAGATAACAAAAGTTTAAAATAAAATGAATAAATTCTAACTAAAGAACATTTGATAAAGAAAGAGTAGGCATTCTTTCCCCACCACTCAAAATACTACTAACATTTTGTTGTGTTTCTTTCTAGTTTTTTTTTTTTTTTTTTTTTTTTTTTT